ATGGGGGTTCTTAAGGGAATCAGTTAAAGCTTCCCCACCAATTTTTCCTTCTATAAGCTCAATCGTTGACTATTGCCAGCTATTTTAGTATTTTGGGCCTTGTAAAGGATTTAGGGTTGGGGAACTGGGGGCTGCAGGTAAAAGAAGAATAGCACTAGGACAGCACAGGCAGATGGACAAGAAAACATACGCTATTTAAAGAACTGTAGGGATTAAGGAGGAGGAGGAGGATAGGATAGAGTGTATTTAACAGGAAGTGAAAGATAGGGTTTAGGGTTTAAGAACAGCAAAAGGAGGCCTGGAACCCGGGGGGGGGGAAGGGGGGGGGTTGTCTCTCCTTCCGGGTCTGGGTAACGAGCCCAGATCCGATCCGGTCTTCATGTGGGGTGGATGGCCCCTACATTCCAATCTAATATAAAAGGTCAAGCTTAAACCACTAGTACCTCCAAGCCTGTTATTGCCGACCTTGGATTTCACCGTGCACCGAAATCTGCCGAGCCTGGGTGCCATTGTGTTTTCTTTTCTGGTACTCTTCGGGGGGGCGGGGGGGGGAGGGGGGGGAAGAAAAAAGAACAACGAAAAACAAAACAGAAAAAAACGGAACCACCCTAGGGACGTGAAAACAGCTGCATGGAGAGTCTGGGGCACATGTGAGACTATGCCCTCCCAACGGGCAGTTACACCCCCGCTGTAGTCACGGGATGAGCCAAAGAAAACAGAAGTACGGAAAGAAAAAAAACCGTATACTCTTTGGACGTGAAAGCAGCTGGATACAGAATCTGGGGCACATATGACAGTATGCCCTCCCTCCCGGCAAACGTTACTTCGGGAGCTGTATTCAAGGCAGCAGCAAAAATAAGAATCAGCTCCTTGGACGTGAAAGCAGCTGGGTACGGAATATAGAGTGCAAGTGAGACTGTGCCCTAAGTTGCAGAGTGGTTATCAGCTATCCGTGTAATGCGCCCTGCCTCATTCGCAGGGCACGAAAAGAGGATGAAAAGAGAACGAAAAAACAAAGCAAACCAATAATGAAAGTAGCCAAGTTTCTGGGTAGATGCGTTCCTTGGAGTACGACTGTGAGCAAACCTCCTTCACTCTGCTGCTTCTTTCAATTTCTTTTTTTTTTTTTTTTTTTTTTTTTGGAATCGGGCCCTTAAGTCCCAAAACTAAAGGCTTGCCGACCCTCCGCGGGGCTCCGAAAGCTATGCTATGGAGAAGGTAAGCCAAAGAGAGTGGAGGTTGAGGGAGAAGAAGCAGGAGGGGACCAACATGGCAGACTTACCTTAGGCTATCTGGACCATCTCCACTTCCTTCGTTGGTCCTGGCATCTAATCTGCACCCGAGCGGGTACCGGTTGGCCTATGCCGGCAGGAGTCAGGAAAGGCACATTAGTGGTTGCGCTGTACTTCAGACGCTGGTCATTGGGATGCTCCGACATAACTAGTTTGCAACACACACACACACACACACACACACACACACACAGAGAGAGAGAGA